AGGACACGGATCAGGGACACAGGACATGGATCAGGGAATTCAGGACATGGATCAGGGAATTCAGGACATTCCAAGGGTGTCACCTTGTGGGATCTGTGTGGCCAGGGGGGAGGAGATGGTGACAAAGTGCCTCTCCCTGCAGCCGTAGTGCACCGGCATCTGCCGCCCCTTCCCGGGGTCGTTGGCGTTCCCGTAGCACTGAGCCATGAACAGCTCCAGGGGGTACCCCCGGTACAGCAGCACACCTGGGGGGGACAGCAGGGGCACCTGGGACACACCTGGGTCACCTGGGACACCTGGGACACACCTGTGTCACCTGTGTCCCATCCCACCCCTTCCCAGGATCGTTGGCATTCCTGTAGCACTGAGCCATGAACAGCTCCAGGGGGTACCCCCGGTACAGCAGCACACCTGGGGGGGACAGACGGGGCACCTGGGACACCTGGGACACACCTGGGACACACCTGTGTCACCTGTGTCCCATCCCAGCCCTTCCTGGGATCATTGGTGACCCCAGAACACCATGAACAGCTCCAGGGGGTACCCCCGGTACAGCAGCACACCTGGGAGAGGAGATCAGGGGCACCTGGGACACCTGGGACACACCTGTGTCACCTGTGTCCCATCCCAGCCCTTCATGGGATCATTGGTGATCCCAGAACACCAGAATCCGGGTCACCTGGGACACCTGGGACACACCTGGGTCACACCTGGGACACCTGGGACACACCTGTGTCACACCTGGGACACACCTGGGTCACCTGTGTCACCTGGGACACACCTGGCATACACCTGGGACACACCTGGGTCACACCTGTGTCACCTGGGGCACCTGGGACACACCTGGGACACACCTGGGTCACCTGGGACACACCTGTGTCACCTGTGTCCCATCCCAGCCCTTCATGGGATCATTGGTGACCCCAGAACACCATGAACAGCTCCAGGGGGTACCCCCGGTACAGCAGCACACCTGGGAGAGGAGATCAGGGTCACCTGTGTCACCTGGGACACACCTGGGACACACCTGGGACACACCAGTCCCATCCCAGGATTGTTGGTGTTTTCCTGGAGCACCAGGAACAGCTCCAGGGGTTCCCCTGGCACAGAAACACACCTGGAATTCCAGAAACACACCTTGGACACCTGTGTCACACCTGAGACACACCTGTGTCACCTGGGTCACACCTGGGATACACCTGTGTCACCTGTGTCCCATCCCACCCCTTCCCGGGAGCATCAGGAACAGCTCCAGGGGGTACCCCCGGTACAGCAGCACACCTGGGGGGGAGAGCAGGGTCACCTGGGACACCTGGGACACACCTGGGACACACCTGGGTCACCTGTGTCCCATCCCACCCCATCCTGGGATCATTGGTGTTCCCGTAGCACTGAGCCATGAACAGCTCCAGGGGGTACCCCCGGTACAGCAGCACACCTGGGGGGGACAGCAGGGGCACCTGGGACACCTGGGACACACCTGGGACACACCTGGGACACACCTGGGACACACCTGTGTCACCTGTGTCCCATCCCACCCCATCCCGGGATCATTGGTGATCCCAGAACACCAGGATCCGGATCACCTGGGACACCTGGGACACACCTGGGACCCACCTGTGTCACCTGGGACACATCTGGGTCACACCTGTGTCACCTGTGTCCCATCCCACCCCATCCCAGGATCACTGGCATCCCCAGAGCACCGGGAACAGCTCCAGGGCTTGAAACCCACCTGGATCCCAAATTTGGGTGGGATACCCCCCAAAATTCATCTCACCTGTGCCCACCTGTGCCCACCTGAGCCTCACCTGCCTCCCGGTACTGGCCGAAGACGAGGTCGGAGGGCTCGAGGGCGGCGGCGCTGCCCACGTGGGTGCCCTCCTCGCCGTAGTTGGTCATGTAGAACGAGATGCGGCCCTGGGAAAAGCAGGTGAGGGTGCCCAGGTGAGGGTGCCCAGGTGAGGGCGCCCAGGTGAGGGGGGTGCCCAGGTGAGGGAGGTGCCCAGGTGAGGGAGGTGCCCAGGTGAGGGTGCCCTGGTGATGGGGGTGCCCAGGTGAGGGTG